TAAATATTCTCATTTATATATAGAACATGCCTTTGTGTTTGTAGTCCTTTGTTATAGGTGGCTAAATTAAGTGTACATAATATTTAATGTTTTAATATCTGATGTGTAATTTATGTTGGTACCAGTTCTCCACTTTTCTCTGTCCAGCTGTGTTCTTGATTTTGTAAATGTCACCTACGTGGAGGGGAAAACAAGTATTAAGTAACTCAGGATATTGACACTAGAAACAAATGGCAGGGGTAACAGACTTACATATTCAAACAACTCTTGAGCAGCCTCCTAGTAACTAGAAACTGGATCATCCCCCTTCTGCAATAAAACAAGCAGGAGGTATTAATGGAAGGGAAAATCCCTCATGGATTTTCTCTCCCAATTGTTCCAGGGGTGGGGTGAGATTCTCTTGACATTCACCCTTCCATCCCCACAAATGAGCCATGATGGAACCCATTCCCTGCTTCCATGAAGGAGCAGTTTGGTGAAGAGTCAAGTACAGTCACAGTCAGGTGGACACCACAGGATTTCCCTCTTTCTGTCCAGTCCCATTTTTTTTCCCACAGAAAGGGCCTAACTTGTCCTACGGTCTCTATTTTTTTTCTCCTTTTTACCTTTGAATAAAGGAAGTAGAGTTGGAGAATTTATTCAACTTAAACTGAAAGACAATACTTAAATATTTCTGAAATGACTTACGAACTAGAGGTACTTCCCAATTTTGTCTATAGCTGCCTGACATTGTTGCTGAAAAAGGAAAGGATGCCTGTGAACCTGAGGAAATAATAGGAATCTGCCAGCTGTCAACATCTGGGAGAGCTGGAGAGAAAGACCTTGAGAACAAAGTAGCTTGACTGAAAACCAGAAATGGAACTCATCAACATGTTCTTAATTTCTTTCTTTTGTTTAATCTTTGCTTGCCTTTATTCCAAATTAATTGTGTGGTAAATAGATTGATTGAAGGAGGATTATTATAACTGACTAGTGAAAGAATTGATCCTTGTGTTTTCAATCTCTACTACACCAAATTAGTGAGGTCATAAAAAAAATGAATTCAGAGTAAACTGAAAGCCACTATACAATCCAAATGTAATTATTTTGTTAGTTCAAGTACACACCATGCCTGAATTTGCTTAGCCCATAAGCACCAATGATTTCTGCATAAGAGGGCATTGCCTCTGTTTCACTCAAGTACTTAGACAATATTTGGGGCCTTGTCTTTGGTAGGAGGAAAAATTGAGTATATGAGTCAGGTATTTCTTTGGTGCAACCCTGTTTATTTACAAAGAACATACACAAAACTCTATTTCCCTGAA